TAGCCCTTTCCGCCTCCCGGCGTGCGGCTCTACTGGGGATGACAGGCAGTTCTTTATGACTTCTATCAGCTGAGTACCGTGCGGATTACCCCGAGGCTGTGTGCATCAACGGGTAATCTGACACTGATCGGCCAGATGGTGACCAGCACGAAGCAATGAGGTGATGCCTTCATACAACCCTGGTGTCTACAGCGTGGTGCACAGCCAAGGTGGTGTTAACCCGTCAGGACACTGCCGTATAGAACAGAGTATCTTGCTTCCTCGCGGCTGCGGAACAGGAGAGTGCGATGACGGGGACGCAGAGATTCCTGCGTCATACCATAAAAACCATGTATCGCAGCCTGTCCGAATGCTCTGACGTACTTCGTTAGACAAGAATTTGCCTGGTCTCCTAGAGGCACAACATAGTTAATGGCATTCACAAGAGCCATCACCGGCCAAATTTCAAAGCAAGATGCACCGTGGTCGTGACCGGCCTGTGCGAGGCAGCCAATGCCGCCTGCCAGAGGCATCAGTTTTACTTATGGTGGTTCATGGCTCAGGTTCGCTGCATATTTATATCTTCGAAGAAACGACCACTGCCAGAGAAGTGCCAGCTTTGGCAGGACTGCATGCACGCAGGGTAGCCGATTGTAATGTGGACGAAATGATGATTGGGCAGAGGTGTGCGCTTCGCTAGCATATGAAAGAAAAAAAAAGGCGAAAGCAGAATAAGGACAGCCAGCATGAAATACAGGCATTGCATATCTCTTTCTCTCTTCACTACGACATGTTTAGCGCCACTTCATAATGTTTCATTAAACAAAAAAATTGCCACACAGCCGTTCACTTGCTTCGCACAAAATTGATTCGCAAGATACTTGGGATCTGCCAAATTTTTATTACATACAAATTAAAATTAATTACTGAAACTCACACAAAACATCACCTTGCTGATTTTTCTTTTTGAAAATATAATATTGAGTGCCTTATAATTATGCCATGTAAATTTGACACATTTATAGACGGTGCATCATAATTTACGCCTGAAGGGGATATTATATTCTAGGGATCGGCTGAGAAGGGAAGTAGCAAAAATTAATCATCAGCCTGCCTCTTTTATGTCCACTGCATGACGAAGGCCTTCCAAAGATGCCCAGTCCTCTCTCTTTCACAATGCAGTTCCTTGACTGCAAGCTTCCAAGTTCGCCATGTCCAATTCTCTGTCATCCTTTGGTGCACTTCCTATCAGTTAGGCTCCCTTCTGTCTCACTGAGAAATCACTGGTTTTCTGTCCTCTGCAATGCTGGGCCTGCCCAACTACATCTTTTCCTCTTAAGTCATTTGATAGTTCACTAAAATATAAGTTGATTTTTCTGGAAAGTTTCTTTCTAACCAAAACTGTTGTTCACCGACCCCTTTGCTGGTGTCATCAGAGTGAATACAATCACACAAGCTTGTAATGTCCACTTCGAGGCTTTCTCTAGCAATCTTGATTCAAAGCACAAGCTTATACAATCTACCTCAACATCTTTTTTGGACATCTTGCCTAAATGTGCAAAAAATGACAATATGGCATGTAAAAAGGGTGCTGATCTTTGAGTGGGAAAACCCACTCAACGCTTAGTTTCAGTGCTTATGTTTACTATGCCCTGCGTAGACGTTTTTTATGTGTGCTGCCATTATTCACCAAAGCAAGAAGTTGACTTGATTACTAATGAGCACTGATGAAGCGCTGATGAGGGGAAACTATGTAAAGAGTAGTACCTCCACATAGAATCTTCTTTTGGAGCTGTTGAAGCAATGCATAAGTGTAGAGTTTTATTGTAATAAACTTGGTTGCAGCCATCTCTGGAATATTGTTGAGCAGCATCAGCCTGATATCTTTAATCTTTACAGCATTCATCAGAGTCTAAAATGGCCAAAGGAAAGCCAGCACCAAGTGGTAAAGTCCAGTCAATTCAGAACCTTGAGTGTACTTTTGGTTGTTTAACTCGTGACCTTTATGTGCCCAGTGTTTGAGTGTCATTCCATTTAGGATATGACAAATGAAATGAACCCTTGTGCCAGCCCTCGTCCTCTGTTTTACCCAGAAGAAATTCAACTAAACTGCTGACATTGCAAGTGCATGAAGGCTACTCAAAATCACATACTTTGGTAACGTGAGGGAACTTATCTTCAAAAACAATACTGCCACCTTTCTTTCTCGAGGCGTCGCACATGTTGGCAACTGACTACAGCAATTAGGCAGATGTGATTAACTGGGCCAGAACAGTAGTACCTAGTTGCTGGCCACCATCCTTCGAAACACCAGCAAGCTAACTTCAATGACCTCGTGTCGTGAATAAAGTTGTTTCTCCCGCGAGTAGCACAATTTGTGTTTGGATGTGAATGTGTTTGAGGCCCGGCGTTGAAATGTTGTCAGGAAATCATGACAATATTTAAATGTAGTAAAGAAAGTACAAAATTCAATCCAGTGCTTTTTGAATTCCAAAACCATGATCTTATTAATAGGTATGTTGTAGTGGGGGAATGTGGAATTTACCATTTGTGTTTTCGTACAATCTGCACCTAAAATGAGCATTCTCGCATGCCATACGACATTGAAACATAACCACTTTAGCCATAATCAAACTTTTTGAGCTTGGTCTGGGGACCAGCTTTCATGCTGGTTCACTACTAAAACTGTTGGGGAAAGAAATTAGAACTGATTTAAGGTCTGTGACAATCTTAAAGGAATACTTACATAATTTTTTTTAGACATCGCAAAAGGAACATTTTTCGTTTTCTTGGTATGCGGTGTCAATGCTCTACACTCACTGGAGTCTGACAATACGTATAAAATATCTTACTTTCATTTTAAAGTTTTCGTTGCTGAGCATCTGCAAGACAGGCCCACTGGGATATTATTCCTACGAGTCAACACAGTTTCCCGGAGTTTGTGAGCTCTGCATCGTGCATGGCACCTAAATTGCGGAAATTACTGTCAGGGGTCACTGGAGGACAATTTACTCACCTTTGTTAATGTGCACTATGAGCGGATAACAGATTTTATATGACTATGTCCACAGTTACTATACCTCCCTGTGACGTTGCACTGCTATGACACGTCACTGAAAAGCTGCCTTCTTGACATTGAAACCAAAATTTCAAGTAGCAGTAACAAGTAGCAGTAACATAAATGTATTCGATAAATTCCCAGATGCCATAATACTCGTGTCAGATACCTATATGCCACTATTTTTATTTAGAACAACCCAAAATTTTTCAAAATTCATGTCAGTACTCTTTTAATGAATACACGAATTGTATAGGTATGAACATTTTAAATGCATGGGCATTTTACGCTGTCCGAACAAGAAAACCTGATTGTACATCCCTCACATAAGACAAGTTGTCATAAGTAATTAAATGTACAAAATGAAATCAATTGAAAAAAATATTACCAGCGGTGAGTTTTGAACCAGCTACCTTACATTCGACAGCCGAGAGTCTTATTTACTGATCTAAATGCCCACACTCACAGAAGGTGAATACATCTTAACCACATCTATGTTTTGTTTGGTACTGCTGACTCTGTACTACAAGTGCCATTCTTTACTCCTCTAGGTGCTTGAGTATAATACAGGTTTTAGGATAGGGCTCAAAATTAACAAACCTATGTACACTGAAAGACAAACAATAGCTGCTCATCTCGCCTCTCCTTTGTGCTTGTCAATTGACAAATTGTGGCCTTCTTCTGAAAGCTGTTTCACCAAGTATGCAAACAAGAAAAAATACTGCAGAGGTGACTTGTAAAAGATGGTAAAGGAAGTCTCCATAACTTAGAGAAGAAATAATGATGGTAGAATATAATCTATACCGAGGAAACTGATTAACACAGCAACAATGACTTTGAGCACTGTAAAGAAAGCAGTTACCACAGTGAACAACGGGACATGATAGAGAGATGAACTAATTGCTGTCTGTTTCTGACATGTCCTGTTGTTTGCGTTGTTGCTCGTTGTTCAAACTGGTCAAAGTAAGAACTCTGAATAGAATAGTGGCTGGCTATGAAAAGTTTGTGATATTGGGTAATATGAAATCTTCAAGTTCATAGGTATTTATCAATTAATTAATTACAATGCTATAAATGCGTGTGCAGGCAGCATGTGGATCTTGATTCACCATAAAGTCATATTAAATGAAATATGTTTTTATTGGCTGACAGTTTTTAAAATGGCACATTGCAACTGATTAGCTTCATGTGCTGCTAGCCAGTAAGGCCATGATCTAAAATTGCATTTGAGAACCTGAATTGCTAGTAACATGGAATAACTTCCTTGCATGCCTTAATACAGTTGCTGCCTTGATGAAGACAAGTCCACCTGTAGCAACGTTTACTTCAGTGACATGATTTCTCATAAGAACAGTTTGCAATGCCGTTACTTGTTTTGTGAATGTATTTTAATAAGATTGATTACTCATACCTTCCCAAGTACGCGTTTTTTTTTCTGCTTAATGCAAAATTTACGCATCGTCACAAATGAGACTTTCGTTGCCTTATTTCAAACATCCAAAACATGGCAACAAATTTCCGAAGCTCGATGCCTAGCCTCGATACGAGCGACATTCTCCTTTGTAACGCTTTAAAACCACCCACCGGTAATACATGAAACAGTTATGTGGTGCGAATTACTGAGTGAGTTACCGATTTGAAAAGGGCGAAAATACACGTCTTACACCCGCTGCGCCTCTTCGAGGCGTTTAACGGGCACCACAGCCGCTTGCTGCACTACGCCTATGATGACTAACCGGAAATGCTTCCGCGAGAACGACAATGAATGGGCCGGTAATACAACTGTTCGCGTTTTTGGTTTCTTTTTTTCAACAGAAGCTTCTCATTCTAGAAGAGGACAACGTCATGCGGGACTCTCTTCGCTCGCAGACCAACACCAGCCCCACGCTTGGGCCTCTCCACACCTTTTTGCCAGAACGCGCTGGCCGCGCTGGCGCTAGCAGCGCTACGGCGCTATTTTATATTTTTGGTCACGTGGTCAAGTCAGAACCAAGTTTTGGTGTGCGATGGTTTCGTGACGCCATTTTCGGCTGAACGGAAACGCCAACGATAATCGACTCTTTATTTTTTTTCGAACATTCAGGCGCAACCTCGGGCAGTGCTGCTTCAGCTCTGGTAAGTTGAAGCTACCGGTCTCAACTTTTACACGCATGCTCTTGTTCGCGTGGATCGTACACGTTTCGATGCAGTGGCCAAATACCTTTGATAGGCTTACACTCGCCGCACGCAAATTTGCTTTATCCGTGCGCAATTTGCTGTTGCCGGCGCCGTGTTTGCTAGAGTATTTTACTATGGCCGTGTTTATATGCCCTGTAATCTAACTGTTTAGGTAATATTTGTAGCAGGCCCGACCAACGGGTTATTTGACAGCCGCTAGCCGTTGTGAACTGGTTATTACATGTGTATGGGCGTACGAAGCCGTTAATTTACCTAAAATAAATACGTTTGCTCAAGCTTGTACAGTTGCCGGCAGTTATATGAGCAGCGTTTTTGTTTCCGTTTTCTTGTTTCATTCTTCTTGCTTGCTTGGACCTGATTGCCACTGAAAGGCGATGCTATCGTAGTTCGGTTGCGTTTTTGTTTGGTCGCAGTTTTATGTGCACCGAGAAACGTACGATGTATTCGAAAAAAGCTTACTTCCGCATCACTGCTACAAATTTGAATTGCGATACACACAAGCACTGTACAACTGCAAGACTGACTGGTTTTAACTTGTGCATCCGCTTTCCTAAAACAGTGTTGTGTGGTTATGTGAAAGTATACGCATACGGTGCAGTTAGAACTGCTACGTCAGTGCTTCGGTTCTAGAAACCTTGTTGCTTACCATTGTCGGTGGTTTCAGTTAGAGTTCTTGACTGTTTGTTACAGGCGATAGCTGAACGACCGGAATGAGCTACCAAATGCAGTCGGGGGCACAAACTGCTGCGCGGTCAAGTAAGTTTAGTAACGCCATAACTTCTGTGCTCATGTGGCGACCTGCTCAAAACTTTGTGCTTATGACAATGGCCGATTCAAGTTTAACATTTGTGTAGTGTGACATCATAGACTACATTTTTTACTGCTACAATGATATTTATAGTTAATCAAAAGAGCTATAGGTAAACCAAAAGAGAGTTGCAGCGCGTGCACATCGTTGCGCGGAACTCTTTCTGAAGGTCGTGTTTCTGAAGTTAAATTCGTGATGAACCGTGTATTTTTAAAATTTTGCCCATCAGTTCTTTATTGGATAGAGTCTGCCTCTTTGTAGAAGCACGTGAGTGTATTGCCCAGTCCATTCTAAGTTTTTCTGTTGTTTATGACGTGCTTTTGCAGTGAGCCATGGCAATTACTCCAATCCTGGTGATGTACCTGTCAACCCTAAGGAACAGACCATTCTCTGGCAACAAGGAAATTACCTTGCGGATTCTGGCATTCACTCTGGTGTTACAACTCAGGTGATGATGTTGACAATATTGGTAGAGAATGTTGCAGAATTCTCATACATTAGCGAGATATTGGCCTTTTTCAGAGTTCGTTTGCAGGAGCATTCGTGTATTCACTACAAATTGACCATTTGCGGGAAAAGCTTACACACACAAGTAGTAGCAGTGCAAGAGTCCGGCTGGCCACCCGTTGTACAAGCTGTTTCACACTTTGGGGAAATCTCGAAGTGCGTGCGCAAATGATTTAGAAGTGTAGTATTGAACCGCGTCATCTGCTGCGGCGGCTCTTGCTTACCGCGTTTCTGATCAGCGCACGGATATCATCTTGAGTGCAGGAACTGGGCTTATAATCTGCACTAAACACTCTGCCACGCCAACCTCTCGGCCTTTATTTGTAATAATAAGGTGTTACAAGCACAATTTGACTGCATACCTTGTTTGCTTTCTCGAAATACCGTGGTGGGGCATGCGTTCATGAATATTTTTTCACAGTGTGTGCACCGCAGTACACTTGGACGAGGATGACAGGATAATTGGCACGTAATATGCGTTGTCTTGATTTGATTTTGAATGAAAAAAGCCCTCAGCAGTAAGATTGCTGTGCTGGCTTAACACAATAGAACAAATTCGGGAATGTTTTAGGCGAGGACAAAGCCTGAACATTTCTCTTTACGACGACATATCATTACCACAACACTCACTAGCTGCGTCCAAAATGTGTGTAGTCTTAGAAACAGAGTTCAGTAATCTTGGAAAACACAGCACTGCTCTTTTCAGACAAGGAAAAAAAAAAAAAATGGAAAAACGTACGGTGGACGAGCCCCTGTTTTATTCAGCTCAGTCTGCATCTTGTGATGCCATACCCCCCTCGTCAAAATGCTGCGGCAGAACACATAGCTGACACCAAGCATTTACTACCGTCTAGAGGCAGTGCTATCATTTCTACCGCTGGAGACATGAACTTGGAAGCATCACGAGTACATTTCGGTGCCGGGAGCGAGTACTTTATGTTGTAATCGAGTATCCTCAAGAATAAGCACGCTCAGGTGGTTGTTCTATCCTATACCATTCCTGAATTCATTCTCTTTCGTTTTGTTGTGTTAAACTCGCTCAGCAGGGGCCATCGCTGACGGCTCTTGTGTCGGAAGGCCCACTGCAAAGCGGCTGCACCATGTTACATGCCTGCCCCTCGCTTTCAGGGTCAATTTGCGGCGAGATCGGGCTATAGATGGCAGCACCGTCCCGTGAAAGTGTGGATAGGTGGTCCGCAGCGCGTATACTAATACACGCAGCGGCGCTTCGTTGCGTGCAGTCTGAGCCGATAGTCGTCGGATAAAATGCATTGACAGTTTACTGTTAATATCTACACTCTTCTCTACTGAATCGGTGCACGATGCCTATGCAATGTTAACATTACCTGTAAGTAAAGCACATTCTGCCTTTCATAGGGATGCTCGCCCTAGGAGAACCTCTTCACACTTTCGCACTAAATCACGCCTTTGCTTTGTTCTTTGTACATGTTTAGCTTGTGTTCTGCCTGTTACGCACTGCTGTAGCATGACTGACCTACTTATTTACATCTTTGTCATTTGCATACGACAAAGAGAGAAAGAAAGATAGTAGAAAGCCCACATATCTGTGCGATTCGTTCAACCCCAGCGTTTGCACCTTATGCGCATGTAATTTTGTTTTCTCTCATTCTGTTCCCAATAAAATGTGGCACAGTCGATAAGTCTAGTCAGGAAAGCTTAGTGGCTTAAGGCGCTTTGCGCTACTCTGCATTGACCAAATGTACGCACATGATCTTGCACTAGTAAGAATATAAAGAAATCTATATAAGAGTTCAGCGGAAAGCTTTCATTGATGGATTACGTGCATGACAGTGCTACAATAAAGGCCTGGTTAATGGCCAAGCATGTTTTTTTTTTTTTTTTTTCAGACAAAAATTGACCACTGCCATTCATCGCTCACTAAATATGCCACACAAGTGCTGAAGACAATGTAAAAAAAGATGACATTTTCAGTAAAATTATACAATAATATATATGACATGCCATCTGAACTAATTTTCAACGTCTGGGCTCTTGAAAGCGCTCTTAAATCTAAACACATGGTTGCGCACGGTGACTCTGTTTTAAGTGCAGTTTAAGTGCCGATATGTCACAGTTTATGTGATAGTAATATTTCTGTGTAGCGGTACTACGGCCAGATTCACACAACTAAGGCTCCTGGCAGGATCGGTAAACTACAGTGCCGTAGTTGTACACCTACCAACAACGTGCAAGTGCATGACCTAGAGCCTTTTTTTTTTTTATGACAGAGTCACTACAAAGGGCTGCAATCACACACCATTTAATAGTCCTCGTAGTTGGGAAGATGCAACGGCCGTTGAAAACTGCCATGTGGCAGTGCGACAACTTTGTCGAGTTTGATAGAGTTGTAGCGTTTCAACAGCCATCGACTCAATGGCCTTTCAAACGTGTCCGTGGGACACATGTATAACTTTGGGACACTACCTAAAGTACAATTTTAAGTCTGCAACACTTATTACATATTGTAAAGAAAAGGCAGCTCGATCAATTCGTATAAACTTAATATTTGATGATGTGCTTGAAACAAAAAGCGGCACCCACTCTGAAATTATTCTGCTGAATGGAGGGTACGACGACAAAAAACAGCGCTCTGGAAAGTTGCACTCCCCAATCTTATTACAATACGTTAGCATCCGAGCAAGACCAGATGCTTTTGTACATCGTTTCAGGCATACGTAGAAACAGTTGCACTCGCGCTTACATGACTGGACAAACCACACTTAGAGAATGTGCATGACGTATGCGCACATAGAAACACGCCGTGGCTAGCAGACGACGCACGGAACAATCCACACTTCAGCCAGTTGCCGCCAGGCGGCGACTTTGCTCGATCTCGCGGCCAATAATTGACAGCTGAAAAAAAAAAAAAGAAAGTTAACATAAGGACATCACATTCATTGCTTCGGTGGGGGGGGGGGGGGAAAGGCTGCGTCGCTTGAAGGGTGCAGTCGCTGGCATGCGCTATATCTTGAGGCATAATGATACTGCTTGTAAACTTCTTGTGCTATTAACCTCTGCTTCGTGTTTGGGATAACTGATTACACAAAAGCTTCAGCCACTAGAGTGATCATTGTCTCTTTAGCCAGCGTTCTTTTGACTTACGCGATATCGGGTCCAAAGGTACAATTTGTTAGTATCACGTAAGCTCTTAGTAATGAATGCACTACGAACAAATTGTATTGCTATACTAAATAATAAGGCTTGATTTCATCTGTAAGGAGCACTAGTGGCAAGGTTGCTATTTCGGAAGTCCGCGCACTCTCTTCACGCGTAGAAAAGTTGCACGTGCAATGTTCGATACCCAAACTGTTTGGATGGCTAGAGACCCCCAGAACACCTCTTGCACATACAGATGGAACAGGACTTGTCTAGAGCGCTCAGCCATCCGCTCCAGCGAATGTTGCTACAGCTGCTGTTTTCTTCTGAAATATGTAAAGAGAGACACCGTAATGATATATGGTCATACTGGGCGCTATGTGCTTGTGCTATAATGTGAGCATGAACAGAAGCTTATAGCTAACGTGAGATTGAAGCTGCGGCCAAGAAAAGCTGCGGCCAAGAACTGGCACGCGCTCCGCTCCTCTGGATAAGTGCTCCAAAATAGAAAAATTTTGCTGCTCCAAAATGCTCTAAAGTGAAAACTGTTTTTGCTCCAAATCGGAAGACCTTGGTAGCATTACTGAGTTTTGTATGAGCCTTGGCTGGCTCAGTAGCCCAGGCACTGTACAGCCCATGGCAAGGTTCAGGTGGGGTAAAAAAAACTTGCATTGGGCAAGGTTGGGCTCAAGTTGGGCTTTTGCCTGTGTCGGGTCAATAATGGGCTTAGGTCTTACACAAGTTGGTAATATTATAGACTGAAATGTCCTATAATATGTAATACTTGTGTCACACGGGCGTTTCGAAGGCCATTGAACGGAAGGTTTATTGAGTCAACGGGCATGCATGTGGGGCCACAAGGGTGGTTTTGAAGACTATCGAGTCAACGAAGCACCTCGCAACTCCACTGAAACGGACATTGAGCGGCAGAAGCGGAAACAGCGTAATCGCGCCCTCTCGTTCCCAGTGTGCTCGTACTCATGATTAGAAAAGGAAATAATTAAGTATGCATTGAAACTAGTGTGTATGGACATATAAGTTATTTAATATATTACCTATCATTTGGAGTGTACAAATTGCTCTAGCTCAACACTCGCCCAAAACCCTGCTCGTTATCGCCATTAGGGTGCCACCATGAGGTGGCCTGTCATTGCCCTAGCGCTGGTGTGTCCCTGCCGCCATTTCGGTCGCTTCCTTTTTTTTTTCTTGTTTAAGTTCTCGCCAAGCAGTGGCATGGTCTCCTTGAACCACCTCGTCTGCCGAGTGAACGACCACCTTTCCCTGTCCACACTTTGCCGGTCACCGCGTCCATTGTCATCGGCAAATTTTTCACGAGCAACACCTCTTCCTCAATGGCGCTGGCTTATTCTTTTGCCGCTTTGATCCCAGCATCAAGCAGTATAAACGTACTCATATAGAACACCATAGCGACCTTGTCATCTGTTTCGCGGTTCATGACTGCTGCACACATGCACGTAGTTGTAACAGCCAGCTGTCACAGCGCACTCCAACATGTGTAAACATGTAAACACAACTGCACAACAGCAAATAAAGCGGTTTTATAGCGTTGCCACAGTTTCGCTGCTCAATGATTAAAACTAATTATGCATTTAAAATTGCTATAAACATATATTGACATGTTTAAACACAAACAACAAGCAAAAGTGTGCTTTTAAATAGATTTATATGTGATTTCATTTACAATGACGTGAAAACAAAAACAAAAAAAACTTGCAGCGCCATGAAATTTTCGTGGGAAACACCTGAATCACTGAACGGCCGTTGAAAACTGCCGTGTGGCTGTGCGACAACTCTGTCGAGTTTGATAGAGTTGTAGCGTTTCAACGCCCATCAACTCAATGGCCTTTCAAACGTGTCCGTGGGACACATGTATAACTTTGGGACACTACTTAAAGTACAATTTTAAGTCTGCAACACTTTTTATATATTGTAAAGAAAAGGCAGCTCGATCAATTCGTATGAACTTAATTTAGGTCACTGCTTCGTAAAATTTTATGATATTATAAGTATCTGCGATGCTTATGCATCAAATTGGATCATTCATTGTATGTTGCAGTTAATCATTGAAATTCATTGTTAACTGGTTAGTGCCGTGTTGGTTGGACAGCCAGCCATACCATCGCCAATAATTGTCCTAAAAGTGTTATGGAATAAGCCATGGATGTTATAGCAATGCTAGCAGAAATCAAAGCAGTCGCTATATCTCGCAATTGTGTACAGAAAATGTCCTGTGTCTGCATGGCCGGTATGTTTACAATAACCTAGAAATGGACAGTGCCTTATTTATCCCTTCATCTGCAAGGGATAACCGGCTGAACTCGGCAAGACCAGTCTGGGCCAGAGCAGAGGCTTCAGGGATTACACTATTGTGACCACTCTCTTGTATGCTAGGTGTTGATTTACCAGAATCATAAAAATGTAGCTCTGCCCTTCAGCATACGCATTTAGCGAGTTTACAGTGATTTTAAATCTTCAAAAAAAAAAAAGCAAGACGAACAAGTAAAATTCTGAAATCTTATCTTTAGTGAAGACAAACAACACAAGGGCTGCAGATGAAGCAGTGAAAATATATGGGTCAGGTTACTATATTTACAGTAGTTATAAAGTATTAAATTTTGGGTTAAAGCAAGTAAATTACACAATTGGTTTTAGAATCCACTTGGGACTATAACTGGACACAACTAGTCACTGAGTATGTATATTTTTGAAAATAGGAATTGTAATGGGGGGGGGGGGGTTATATTCAGGTCTATTCATGTTGTATCATCTTAATGCTTTTGAGTAATTTGATAATTATTACAAAAGTTCTTATTTTCATTGTGGAAAAGTGAGAGAAGCCCAGAACTGGCATGAATATGACCATGATTTCAGATGCTGCGCTTTCATTGTTGTGATGATAACTGTTATTCATGCACACTACAGCTTTCATGTAACATACTCTGAAGGAGGTCACCAGCTGGGAATTCCAGGGTAAACATTTTTAACTGCTCGGATGGCTGACCTAATTAGGCAATCCAAAATGGGCTCTTGATGTCCTGAATGAGCTCTGCTTGCACTATTAAATATTTAAGAGGCCTATTTCTGCTGACTGCGTTCGAGTACCACCTGCAAATTGATGTGGGCAGACTCGTTTTTTTAGTTTTTCTGTGTCGAATTCTAGCTGTCCAAATGCAAATGTCTCTATGAAATAAAATGAGTTGCAAGGAAGTACTGATGTCCTTTACTCTCTTGCTCATTGGTGTATTGCTTGTGCAGAGTTAAAGTGATTTCCCTTCCCATTTTTGGCTGCAGCAGGGCTTGTTTTATGAACCTGTCAGGTTTCCATTTATGTTGTCTTATATAAGAAAATGTTTGTATCAACCTTTGCGCAGGCACCCTCCATAAGTGGCAAGGAGGAAGACTTGGGTGATGAGCAGATGGTTTTTGATTGGGAGCAGCCTGGCTTTGGTCAAGGGTTTACACCTGACCAAGTAGATGGTAAGTGGAGTTTGCAGTTTTCAATGCGATAGCTCGTTTCGTAGGAATTATGGGTGCACGTTAAAGAACCTCAGGTGGTCGAAATTTCCGGAGTATGGTGGTTTTGGGACGTCAAGCCCCACATATTTTATCTAATTCTTAGTAGCGAAGCTTAATGATCTTATAAATTTTCTTTTTGACCTTATGCGCAGTGGCACCACACTGCAGGAAAAGAAATACGTTGTTTGCTGCATGTGTACAAACAGCTCCTACCACATATAGTCCTTGTGGCATGGTTTGCCTTGTGCTGCATAAACAGAGCATCTCATACCATAGGCCAGCAGAAAAATGTGACTCACTCTCGCAAGAAATATATTTTTCGGTTGTTCCCCACCCGAACTGTTGGCTCATCAAAATTTGACACACCCAAATCACTTGACTCGCTCACAGAAATATTTCTTACCCAGACTCGCAGCTTGACCTGAGCCTAAGTAAATAGACTTATGAGTGAGTTTGCCAATCACCATAGCTTCACTGCCTTGGTGTTTTGTGAATTTAGGCAGCAGGTGCTGCTGTAGTTACTTGCTTGTGCTCACTTTCTATGCTTACATGAAAACATCTGCTTATTCATAACTTTTTCATAAGAGTTGTTTCTTCGAATGTTGCAATAGCCCCAATACAGTCTCCCACGAATGTTTGAGACTGCGAAAATTCGGACTTGATATTTCGAACTTCACAAATGCACTGCCAAGCTGCACTTGTGAAGCACTAATTGCACTAATGCATATTTGTGACTGATTTTGGGACGAATTTACAGTATAAACTGGAATATAAGTCGAGATATTTTCATAAAATAACCAAGTCGCCCCTCGTCTTATATAGTAGTGTCTAGCCGAAAGTGCGCCGCTGTCTGGCAACATGTGGCTTGCATGTGCTTGAGAAGCCGGACGTGGCCATATCTGCATCCAAATCCAATCGCAGGCAGTTTTTTTTTGTGTGTTTGTGATTTGCTTCCGATCTGTTCTGAGTTTTCGCTCTGCTTGACATTGCGCTGCATTTTTAGTGGGTTTTTTTTTTTTTTTTCATTCATTGAATATGAGTAGCGGTACGAGAAGGCAGTACTCTGCTACATTTAAACTAGATGTTTTTGAGTTCGCAGAAGCGAACGGAAATATGGCTGTTCAGCGCCGCTTTGGTGTATCGGAAAAAAAGCGTGCGCTTTTGGAGGGCGCAGAAAGGGAAGCTGCAGATGTGCAATCCTCGAATAATGTCGCTTCGTGGACGAAGTGCTGTTCATCCACAGCAGGAGGATAAGCTAGCGGACTTTGTGCGGGAAGTTAATGCCCGCTCGCTGCCAGTGACTGGATACCATTCACAAGAAAGCCATGGAACTCGCTCGAGAAGCTTGGCTCACGAGAGAAGAGTTTCGTGCACCAAACTCTTGGGTGCATCGATTTATGCGACGCAAAGGATTTTCTCTCCAGTGGCGCACATCTATCTGTCCAAAGTTGCCGGAGGTGTTCGAGGACAAGCTTATAAACTTCCAGCGCTTCGTGAACCGGCTTCGGGAGCAGAACGACTACATGATGGGGTAGATTGGCAACGCCGATGAGACCCCCGTGTGGTTTGACATGCCTTCGTCAACCACGATCACGCAGCACGGCGCCAAATATGTGAAGCTGTTGTCCACTGGCAACGAGCACTCGAGCTTCACCATCACGCTGGCATGCACGGCAGATGGTAGAAAGCTTCCGCCCTTCATCATTTTCAAACGCAAGACAATGGCGGAGGAAGTGTTCCCGCCCGGTGTTGTCGTTCGCGTCAACAAAAAGAGATACATGAACGAGGCCATGATGCTTGAATGGATAAGAGTAGTGTGGAACCGTCCGCCAGGTGCACTGCTGCGTCTTCGCAGCATGCTGGTGTTGGATGTGTTTCGTGGTCGCCGAGCGCGCGGTTCACAGCGTCGCCGCTGTGAAACGCGCACTCAGCGACAGGAAAACGGACCTCGTCGTGATACCAGGTGGTATGATATCTACCCTCTAGCCGCTCGACGTTGTGCTAAACAAGCCGTTCAAGGACCGAGTGCAGCTGGAGTACCAACAGTGGATGTCCGGCGACAACCCAAAGACACCGACGGGTCGCCTACAGAGGCCTTCGCTTGCGACTGTTTGTGGCTGGGTGCTTTCCGCCTGGCGTTCCTTGCCAGATTCCGTGGTGGAAAAGTCTTTCAAGAAATGTTGCATCAGTAACTCGCGAGATGGCACGGAAGACGACACACTGTGGGAGGCGGCCAGCGACACTCTCGTCTTCAGAAGACAGTGGTGCTTCTTCGGACGAATAGGAGCAGTTGCGATGGTGGTTGAGGGGAGCTCCGACGATCGGGGTGCGGTGCGCCCAATTCGCAAATAAATGTAGTTGGGCAGTTTTGGGTTGTTTTCCTGGTTTTTTTTTTTCGGTAACGTGAACTGGGAGGGTCAACCTATATTTCCTCTCGACCTATAGTCCGGTTAATCCGGTATGTTCCAAAGTTCGATTGTCCATTTGTTTTGAGCTATGCCACTTGATTTTGAAGGCCGCCATGTTGGATTTTTTGTTGGCTTGGTCCAATTTGGCTGGTAAGGGCTAGTTGTGTGGCCTAGATTGGAAGTGCGTACAATCTTCCAGTTTAAAAGGCTGTCTGATTTTCCTTGGCTAGCAAAATGGCAGAACTTTTCTTTTTCAGTCAGCCTTATCATCATCATTAATACGCTGGTAGATTGTTATTTTCTGGTCATCTTTGCGCACGTGCTCAGTTGTGCCAAGTGTGTTGAAGCCATCGTGCACGTCACATGCTCGCTGCTGTTCGCAATTGCTCAATAGCACTCGGGGGGGGGGGGGGGGGGTCGCAGTACTCGGCTACTAACCTGGAACACACTGGTTAGATCACGGCCGCAACAGCAGCGTATGCTAGAGGCTCGCGTACTGTGCGGTAGTGGTGCAGCTAAAAGAAGCCCAGACCGTGCTGTTGAATCCCAGCAAACAGGTGTTGCATGCATCATTTTGTGATGGCATCAAGTTTTGTTTTTCTGTTTTCATGGAGCCACCAACCTTGCTGTCCACAACGGTCGGTGGCAGTGATTGCCAACACGCTTGCCAACTATGTTACCGTAGCCAAAATAGAACCAAATTTGCTCGTCTTTAAGAACAGCATGGAGCATGGCATTTGGGATTTTCTTAAGGCTTTTCTAATTCAAGGAAACCTCATTTTCACAGCTTGACAATCTTTTTTTGTACTGTCTGATTTTTCCGACTGTTTGTGATCCCCGCGAGGTCTGGACAATCGGTCGGCAACTGTACCTACATCATGAATTGATTAAAACGACCTTGCACACTTATGCCATGTCGATTTTAGCAAATAGGAAACTTTAGGTTTGAGCGAATTTGAAGCAAAGAGTGATTTAGTCAATTAATTTTGAAAGAAATTTGAATAGTGCTCATCACATACTAAGAAAAATGTGCATATTTGTCATGACCCAACTAACCTGTTCAATATTTTTTAAAATTAAAACTTGGCATGTGTAAACGTCATTCTGTTGTTTCAAAGAGAGGGGAAGCAACATTGAATAGTAGCAGGATTTGATTTCCGGTAGAATGGAAGTGATACTCTATATATGTTTCGTTTTAAAATTTAATATGCTCAGAGCATATAAGCTGGTATAATAAGCTCGTAAACTTAAAAATGATGTATTGATGGTGGAGGGTAGTATGTTCATGTAACTTTGAAGTGGGGCTTCATGGTAGTACGCATTTGTCATTAGTCCTGTTAAAAGGGAGGCAATCACAGGGCTGATTCCAAGGACTGACGTGTCAACCCTCCAAAATGCATCACGAAAGCGCGGACAGTTTAGTGCTGGTTCTTCTGGTGCGCCAGCGAATGCCGGCTGTGGTCGAAAGAGTGAGACAAAGTTGATGGTTCACTAAACGAAATATATTCTTAGATATGGCGAACAAACAATACACAAATATGCACAAGGCAATAATCAAATACAATATGATACAACTCACAAGGAACTCTGACACATTCAAAACAACGGGGACAAACAACAGCAAGCGCTATAATACAATTTCATGTATTAACTAACCAAGACACTTAGTTTAAAATGTTCGTCAAACATATTCAGTCCAAAGTTCTTGGAACAAAGCTTGAATGCTTCTCTTCAAAGAAACAGCGCTGGTTGTCGTCTAGCTGCGTCCGAGGTTTCTTTTCTAGGAAACTCTTCCCTCGTCAACTGACCGTACCTCATTAACCTCTTCACCGTAAACACTTTGGCCACTCACATGCTGCTACTGCAGGACATGTCTTCACCCACTGGTTGAAAAAGCCCACTCACTGCATTACCTGCTTGTAAGATAAGGCCTGCTTCATCCACGTTTCACGCTTCATCTCGTAATGCGGCTCCCTCTGCTGCTGGCTTATATGCCGTAGCCGCTGGGTTCCTGAAACTTCTAGAAGGCGTTTTGTCAGCGCGCTGAACAGCCGAAGCTGGGAAAAAGGCAGGACCTTTTTCATAACTTGGCGCAACTCTGCAGCACCACGCCCCTTTCCTTCGACATGTTTCTGGAGTTTGTTCCAGATCCGAGGAGGTTATTGGTGTGTTGGCGGCACATTCGAAAGGGAGAAAAAAGGCGCACGCGAGGAGTCTTTTGATGCTTGTTTTTTTGTTGTGCCGGCTTCTGTCACGTCTGATCGGCACCTGGTATGGTCGCAGTCCTTAGAAATCAGAGGTGTGCGCTTTCTTGAGCGCTCGTTTGTGACAGCATTTCCTCTAGATAGGTATATTCACGATATAGCACCCCTTCACTGCAGTGAAACCACCTACATACGGTTTATGTCCATTCTTTTTGTTCATAGGAAAGTGTGTTCGAATATTTGCACAGGACTATGCCATGTATTGCCATGCTATTGATCCCTCAGTGACCCTATTTCACTGGGAATCCTGTTTAATTACAATAAATTTTCAGCTCTGTATTCCCTGAATGCCACTGGAAAATTTATCGAGTCTTCATACTTTTGAACTCTGCCTCGGTAAATGCTCTCTTGTTCTATTGATTTATTTTTTGTTTATTGAGCATAATGTGAAATTTGTTCACCTGCATTATTTGTCTTTTATTATCTGATAGAAAACTGCGCTGGTATAAAGTGTTCAGAAGACGCACCTATGTAAATCCACCCTTTGGTTGACGGTATAAGGGGACATAAAGAAACTTAAAATGGGCAGTGTGTTTTTTCATAGCATGCAGACCTTGATCGTAATATAAGATGCTAGAGTGGTCCTTGATTGTGTCATGAATGTCTTTAGTGGTTTTTCATTAGCATTTAGTAGGCTACAACCATGTCAAAAGGAATGTGGTACAGCAGAGATGCTGCACTGTTTGCATTTCTTTCTATCATGGTATGTCTCTAGAGCCATGATGAGCTAAACCTTTTGTTATATTCTACCCACAGGGGGGGGGGGGGGGATGTCAATTAACTGTTTTATTGTAGCAGCGATGAAATTTTGTTACTTTATACTCTTCAGGGCATTGAGCATAAGTATTTGGAGTGTTTTTTATTGCTGTTAAAATGAAAAATTGTCTTCAAACATGGTAGTTGCTGAAATTGCAGCACTGCTCAAAACATATCATATAGGTAAAAACCAATATCATGCAGGATGATTTATTAATGCAGAACTGAAATAATGAACATTTTATTCAAGAAAATTAAATTAAAAATTTGTCTCTTTCAGAGATGAATCAGCAGCTGAGCCAGACTCGATCGCAGAGGGTGCGCGCCGCAATGTTTCCCGAAACACTGGACGAAGGAATCGAGATACCGTCGACTCAGTATGACCCTGCACAGCCAACTGCGGTGCAGCGTTTGTCTGAGCCGTCGCAGATGTTGAAGCATGCTGTTGTGAACCTCATCAACTACCAGGTACAGTGTTGTCTACTGAACAAAAGCTGCACTTTGTATGAGCTATAAAAATTTTGCCGCTCTTTTAGGATGATGCCGACCTGGCTACTCGAGCGATTCCAGAGCTAATAAAATTGCTGAACGATGAAGACCAAGTTGTTGTTAGTCAAGCAGCGATGATGGTCCACCAGCTGTCGAAGAAGGAGGCCTCTCGCCACGCTATCATGAATTCTCCGCAGATGGTAGCGGCTTTGGTAAGGGCCATGTCCACGTCCAATGATCTGGAGACCACTCGATGCGCTGCGGGGACCTTGCACAACTTGTCCCATCACCGCCAAGGTTTATTAGCCATCTTCAAATCTGGAGGGATACCGGCTCTGGTGAAATTACTTAGGTAAGCACACTTCACATTTGCGTCATGGCTTTCTTTACAACAGTCCTACAGAGAGGGTGGGTTTTAATTAAAAGCTATAATGCTCCTATGTATAGACCAGGCTTATATGTATGGTATTTAGTATTTGAATGTAATAATATTCAATCGTTTCCTTGTCTCAGATTTTAATATTAGATGTGTAAGTACTCAAGATGAAGACTATACATATCTTTTTGTTTAATCAACCTCACATCATGGTGTGGTTTCATGGCAGTACAGGCCATGCTGCTTTGAAGCCACACCTCAAGGCAGTGTTGCTCATTAATTCCTACCAAATTAAACTTTTTTTTAGTAATGACCTATGTGTGTGAGCTATTGTAAATTTGAATCGTACTGTATTGTACCATATATAACTTGTATAAATAACTGCATGCAGTTATATTTGAGGCTGTCAGGCTATATTGGTGCATATTGTCTGAAATGGTGGCTGAGAAGACAATGCAATTCATCTGTTATTCTACATACTGAAACTTTTACTGGTGTGTACTATGCAATGTCAGTGCAAGTTAAAGAACACTAGATGGTCAAAATTTCTGGAGCCCTCCACTATGGTGCTCCTTATAATTGGATAATTAGAGACCGGATTTTAGTCAAATGTCTATTGTGTTCGTTGCATTCCTATCCTGCCACTTTGATATATGAGCATGATTCAGAGGCCAAGAACAACTTTCATACTGTTTTTATAGTGCCTATAACTGCCTTTTTTTTGCTCCTCAATTTTTATAAGTGCCTATAAATGCCTATTTTCAAACCGGTGGCTATATGAACACTATCTCATCAGTTTGTCTGTCTGTCCATCCGCCCACACCTGCCGAGTGTGTTGAACTAGGCTGTTGCGTACCAAAATGAGACACAAGACAGACCCACAACTTTAGGAGCTTTGCCCCTAATAAATCAGTGAGACTCCCCCCCCTCCTTTCTGTTGCAGCAATCTCCCAAATTCAGAGTGCTTAAACTTGGCAGGTATAGATTGGCATCGACCTGACAAACTCCCCATTTCTGAAACAGTAGTTTGGCGTGAGTTGATATTGTTTCGATTTCTAAAACTGCATGGAAAATAAAGTTTTACTGTGTCAAACCACAAACAAACGATGGGAGAGACTTGTAATGCTCTTTGGTACTAGCTCCTTCCCTATTGTGGAAGCGGTGAAGCTTGTGAAGCTAATTTGAAGGTGTGAATATGACAGGCATGAAGGTACACACACATGGAATGCTTCGTGTGTGTTATCTCCGTGTCGTATTTGCGCCTTAAACTTTAAATATGTTAAATGAACAAGCTCAATCTGCCATTCCTATATAGTGAAGCTAAAGTGCAGAATACACGTTTGTTATAATTGCAATATACATGTACTGCATAAGTGCAATAAAATCAGTCTATTTTGAAATTTTAAAGTAATAATGAGTCAACATTGCGTGCCAGTTTTAGTCTTTGAAAAACTTGTGACAGGTCCTTGATTATCCTTGAATTTTCGCTTTGGAAACCTGTACGAACCCTTGGTCGAAATTTTCGAAGCCCTTCACTAAGGCCTCTCTCATATTCATATGGTGGTTTTGGGACGGTAAACCCCACATATCAATCAATGAAACTGTATGAACCCTGCGCATTTCTAAGCAGAGGAAGTTCTTTTCACTGTATTCCCAAGCAGACGCGTGGCCGTGTGGTAGGACATCGCTTGCTAAGCGAATGACCTGGGTTAGATTGTTTTATCACCAACTCACCCAATCAACCATATTGACTGGGTTAAATCCCCATCCGAACCCAAACGACTCTGGTTCGTTCCCCACTCTGACCCAGCATTTTTAATTTATTTATTTGCATTGCTTTAGATTTTTCGGTCATGCATAACGGGATGTTTTGTGCGCAACCAACAATGCCGATGCTGGAATTTCTGGGAAACGAGCTCTTTAACAATATCACGTTAAAATAAGAGACCTTGTTCTGAAAACTATGCAGGAAAAGGACAATTTTGCATGGCTATGTTAAACCACTGTCGTAGACACAGGTCGTGCACGTCTCTTGAAAATCTCAATTTTCATAAAAGTTCACTGTGCCTGTGTATAGGATTTTGGGGGCCTATAACTGTTTTTGGTGCCTAAAAAATGATCTTTAGTGCTAAAAAATCTGGCCTCTTCTTATAATCATCATCATTATGATCAGCCAGACTACGCCAACTGCAGGGCAAAGGCTTCTCCCATGACCCGCCAATCAACCCGGTCTTGTGCTTTCTGCTGTCACGTTATACCTGGGAATTTTTTTTATTACATCGGCCCACCAACCTTTCTGTCTCCCCTTCGTGCGTTCGCCTTCTCTGGAAATTCAGTCACTTACCTTTAATGAGCGCGGTTATCCTGCCTATGTGCTACATGCCCGGCCCATGTGCATTTATATCATAATAGACTTATTTTTGCTCGTGATATGGCTTTTTTTTTCTTTCATACAAGTGGGTAGTGGTCATGCCGGGTGGACAGCTACTGAAGTGGACAGTAAACTTGCACAGTAATCTTATTGTTATAATGTGTGTAGACTGAAAACCATAGATGTGGCTAGCAGGCATACTTGGCTTGTCTCTGCACTTCTATAGCTAAACAGGTTAAGTTCGTGTGTAAGAAGTGCTGCTCAACACAGCATGAACTAGTTGGGTTATGCAGTCAGGGTTGCACTCGCTGCATCGAACTGGTGCATGATGGGTGAATGTGCAGGCAGTGTCATCATTGTTTGCCAGTCACTGCAGAACGAAGGCTTGAATCAATGGTCTCCGACTCACAGTGTCTTGTGTGAGGTGATTCCATTTTGTGCCTGTAAATTAATTTTGTTACTGTACTGAACATTTTGGTAGCCTTGGTTGCACTTCTGATATTTGCCAATCTGTTATCTTTCCATCTTATAACATCAACTGACTAGCTGCATTTAGGATATCTGCTACCCTTGTATTGTTATATAATCCATTCTACTGCTTTCCTGTCGTAAAATTATGCCTATCAATTTTTTTTATTCATTGCAGGCTGTGTAGTTAACTTCTCAAGTTTCCTTGCTATTACCAAAATTTACTTCACGTTACAACTGGCAAAATGCAATTTGTGCACTTCCTGCTTTAGTTTCAGTGGTAATTTTTTGGCCATGTGTTAATGTCAAGCATATGTGCATCAGCTCAAGCTTTGGTGAACTTTTTATGTAAATGTGCTCTTCTGATTTACTTAGCTCAGAATATGTACTCTTTTACCAATTCTATGGTCTGGTGTATTGCGAAGTCTTTTTTTAGTTTTTGCTGAACTATTTAGCATACATTTTGTCAATGATAAGATCCTAGGACCAAGCACATGCATCGCAGATTAACAAAAGTGAAAAAGAAAGTAATAGGCTCTTTTAATTACATTTATGAGCCACAAGAACACCATCGGATGTGTAATTGTAAATACGCACATCAGAAAACATGTTTACCATATTTTATTTGGATGCCCTTATTGGCAAAGAAAGGACACAGGCGAAATTTGCAAACAATTCAGGGTTGGTACAAGTCCTTGAATATCTTCAAAACCTTTTATTTGCTCGGCATTTGGCACTTGCTCGAAATTTTATGTACGAGATAGTACTACGGGTAGTAGGGGTTTATTGTTCCTGTCAATGCTCCTACTGGAATACTACTGTGTGCTTTCGTTATTACATGATTTATGTGTCAGATGGCACTGATTGTATCCTCCCAACTTTTTTGCTTGCCCTGCTTGTATAGTCACAGCATTCAATTGCCCGGTTTCTGCATTTTTGTTGCATGTCATATTTCACGTGAATGTCTTCATGGCTTTTATCGCCTTGACCTGACCTCATATGTAAAGCTCACTGTTCAGTGCACCTGAACAGACTTTTCACACGTACATGTGTCAGTCAGCGGCAAAAACGATACTGTGGTAGATTTTGGGCGCCTCTGTCACATTTATAGATTTCGAAAGACTGCAAAACCCCTTTCTTATTTTACAAACTCTTAATCTGGCAAAATAATTTGAGCGGGGTGGTGACAATATTAAATGGAGTTTGAACTGAGTGACTACAAGTGTGATAAATTTAATTGGGGTTTGAAACATTGTTGTAGTAAAAAACAAAATTCACATTTGGATGCAGTTTGTTTAGTCCTTAAGAAACGCATGACAGGCCCCTGAAAATCTTTGATTATCTTGAATTTTCTCCTCTGTGAGCTCTCTGTTTATATTATGCACATAATGGTATACAATTTCACCTTAGTGCAGAACAAAAAATAAAGGCTTACCTGATTGTGAAGTGAAAAATTTGTGAACACGGGGTATCGCTAGAGCTAACGTTTGACCAGTGGACATTTCTTCAAGGCTGCAGCTGCAGGGACACCCTTTGTTGACTAATTTTTCAGCTCTTTAAGCAGACATGATCTTGTGTTCATGTCTGCTTGTCTTTAAAGGGACACTAAAGGCAAACAATTCGTGCTAGAGTGAAAGCTCATTCCTTGAGAGAGTCTAACACATGAATATTGTACACAGAACTGATCAAGAAATCGGGGTAGATGTAGGGCACCGTTTGTGCCACCAGTGGGACATTATGGAACAACATCTAGGTGAATTAGAGCATCCTAAGTATAGTTAATCATTAGTAATCAGCCTACCCATGATAAAGAAGATAAGAATTAGTTACCAAGACTTGATATAAGTACATTTTCGCAGCAAAAATAACTGGTTGGGGTTACCATGAAGAAAAATGTTGGTGGTCCAAAAGTTTCGATTTCACCTGGCTTCGCCTTGCTGATGCAGTAGTGTCTCGATGCTAATTTTGTTCTTGCACAACGAACAGCTGTTCCTGCCGTAGTGCAATAAAGGGTGGGCAAGGCAAATGCTTCATGTCCCGTCGTGGTGGTCTAGTGGCTAAGGTACTCAGCTGCTGACCCGCAGGTCGCGGGTTCAAATCCCGGCTGCGGCGGCTGCATTTCCGATGGAGGCGGAAATGTTGTAGGCCCGTGTGCTCAGATTTGGGTGCATGTTAAAGAACCCCAGGTGGTAGAAATTTCCGGAGCCCTCCACTACGGCGTCTCTCATAATGGTATAGTGGTTTTGGGATGTTAAACCCCACATATCAATCAATCAGGCAAATGCTTCATCACCAGGATTTCTGTGGCGGGCTGTTTGAAGTGCGGTGACCGTGTACTGACCACTAAAAAGGAGTCTCTTTCAAAATAAGGGTTTCCATGACATGAAACAGGTGCTACGAGCCTTCTGGAATGCTATTTCAACAATCTGTGTAGGCTCAACTCATATATATATGCCCAGTGTCTTATATGGAGAATGCTCCTTTCTTGTGTTTTAAAATCCCTGCTTTTTTTTCAGCTGAAGACTAGATCCACCTTAGCAAATCAAGCAAGTGTCTGCCTAAATGTGTGCTATAGCCTACACATTGCTTGCCCTTCCTATTGCTTGCCCTTGCTATTGCCATGGATGTGCTGCTACGTCTGGGCAAACGTATACTCTGTACAGGAGAAATACAATTTTAGTGGCCATGGTGTGAAAGGAAATTTAAGTCATGACCTATTTATTTATCTTCAAATTATTGCAAAAATCTCACCAGTCAGCCATTCAGGCAAAAAGTAGTTTGGTAGCATCGATTGTACTATTGCTCCTAATCGCAAATAAACAAGGTGCACTCACTGCCACGAGAAAACTAGGTGCAAAAAGATCTCGCGCTTACCTTACTGTCAATCAAAATTTTGTTTTCGTTTCGAGTACAAGTGCCTTATTTGTGCCTAAAAATGTTTTCTAAATTTTTTCTGTTTGGGCATATCTGCCTTAATATTTACCTTTAGTGTCCATTCAAGATATTTTGCTGGTTTTTGCGCATTGTAGAAGCCTATATAAGCATCGCATAGATTTGAGACAGCACTTAGAATTTCTGTGGCTGAAATTACTTTTTTGACAAGAAGTTTTTCTAATCATTCATTGTAAAAAGAGAGAGACCATGGATGATTTAGAATTCTGGTCGGTGTACAAGTGTACAATATAGATCATTGGTACCATTGGGCAATTCTCAATTGATTTCTGTGGCTGAAATTACTTTTTTGACAAGAAGTTTTTCTAATCATTCATTGTAAAAAGAGAGAGACCATGGATGATTTAGAATTCTGGTCGGTGCACAAGTGTACAATATAGATCATTGGTACCATTGGGCAATTCTCAATTGCACAAGTGTTTACGCCATCCACTATCATACAATGCGTACATGTGATAGATTTTTATACATGGAAAAAATGTATTATACTTGAATTGTAATGACTTCATAGTAAATGTACTATTGGCGTCAAATGAAACCCGAACAGCTGCAAGCCTTTGCGATAATATAGTGTGCGCCATCCAGTTATCACCGTTGACAGGCGCGTGCATCCTGTTCGGCATCTCTGCGCATAAGTGTGCCTGTCATGGTGATAAGTGAGGGGCACTCACTATACTATCACGAAGGCTTGCCGCTGTTCGGCTTCCATTTGATGCTGATAGTATATATAGCAAACGGTACCATGCAGTGCAACTTATAGGGTACTGTTTTTGCATATTTATTACATAAGTAGAAATCAACCGTCTTTGTTATTGAGCAGATCTACTATTTTTCATGTGCAGCTCGCCAGTGGAGTCTGTACTTTTTTATGCGATCACCACGTTGCACAACTTGTTGCTGCATCAAGAAGGCTCTAAGATGGCTGTTCGTCTCGCTGGTGGCCTTCAAAAAATGGTGTCCCTTCTTCAGAGAAACAATGTCAAGTTTCTGGCCATTGTCACAGACTGCTTGCAGATTCTTGCCTACGGAAACCAAGAAAGCAAGGTAAAGTCTGTCAAAATGTGCAAAATGTGTTTGGAGCTGGTGCACTTAGTGCCTTTATGAAAGAGAATATGCTACCATGTGGCTTGTCACCTGCAGTCATTACGTAGGGTTATTCCCCCAGACACCTGTGATAATTGACAGATGGTAGTTGGAACTGCAGGTACCGCATTAGCTTTCTTATGTGTGATGTCACTTAGAATTTGTAATTCTTCCATCCACCAGTAGCTATCTATGTTAGCAACAAAGCATTTCCTAGCTGCCTGTTGGTTAGGCTATGAGCGTCATGACATGTTCAAGTCATGCTCATGTGTTCTTTTTCTCTTTGTAGTTGTGTACATTGGATTGTCTTGCTGTATATGACCTTGTATTATTAATATGCAAATTTTTATTAAAGCATGGTTTTTTGTCAGATTATTTTGCAATAAAAAAGTTAGTTTTGCCAAATGGGCAAAGCAATGAATGCGATAGCAACATATTCGAATGTTTTACGAAGCAAGACTAGCATTTTTAGGAGCAATATTAATTATAGTAAACATGCGCTTGCTAAGTAACTAAGTTTTCTGCAGCGCTGCCACAGTAGATGACCACATAAAGGCTTGTGCGTAGTGATGGCATTGATATACAAAGTGAGGCTGGCAGTCAACTTATTTAAATCTGATCTCGCATAATTCTACAAAACGCTGATGTAAGAGAACACGGCTGCTGTAGACTTTTGGAACCGTTTTTACGTGTCGCAGCTTTGTTGAAGCTCCCGCCTGCTGTGGGGCACAAGGCTCTCGCTGATCGTTGCCGCGATAGCGCGGCAATCATTAGCGCCCCCTCCCCCCCCCCTTGTTAGCTGGTGAGATAAGCGCGCAGGCATACGGGTCTGGCCGGAAAGGCGATGTTCACTCCGCAGAGAAGCCTAGTGCATCCCCTTCCCCCCCCCACACACACATACGTGAATGACGGCGGCGGGGACTGCAAAAATCGGCTGAGACTGTCCATATAATTGCTATCGCAATACTAATATTCTTAGGGGTGTTTGGACTTCTATTTGGAAGAATTTCGCTTGCAGAATCATGCTCTTTGTGCAGCTGATCATCCTGGCCAGTGGTGGGCCAGCAGAATTGGTCCGTATCATGCGTTCCTATACCTATGAAAAGCTTCTTTGGACCACTTCAAGGGTGCTCAAGGTGTTGTCCGTGTGTTCTAGCAACAAGCCGGCCATTGTTGAAGCAGGTATAGAGCTGCTTGTTTTACTGATCAAATCTTTTTGCAGTTGTGCAATAGTCTTGCCACTTTTTCTATTGTGACTAAATATTTGGCACCAATTTAAGCAGAAAGCACGAAACTCAAACATTGCTGTAAAATAAAATGTAGTTAATACTCTGAAGCCTCGATATGACGAACCCAAATATATCGAAATATCGGTTATACCGAAGTAAATGAAAAATGGCTTGCAATAACTGCAGTATTAGGGATATACCTTCATAATGAATTTTTATATATAATGAAGTTCTTTCGTGGGAGATGCAACTTATTTTTAAGGAGGTCTGAATGTATTTGTATTCAGAATGGGAAAGTTTATTAGTTAATGTAATTTAATAGCTTTAGCTTCTGGGCAACCCAGATTTGCTTGTTTGTGTTAAACCATGTTCATGTAGGTGTGACCTTTATCTGTATAATAAAGCAAGGAAAAGCAGGAGGAGGTTGTTCTTGAAAGGGTTAGATTAGTCTAAATGGATCACATCAGGCAGGAAGTCATCCTGTTGTGGAATCTCATATCTTGTTGCCAATAAAGTCGTGGCAAAGCGAAGCCCCATGTCGCTTACTTGAGTTGTTCAGCCTATAACATGTACGAAGTCTGTTAGTAATGTATCCGACATTATTATTATTATTTTTTTTTGTGAGCACCTGACGAAATTGAAATAAGCGCGCTTGCATCAGCCGACCTTGAACCTTTGTGCGCATGCGTGAATTTTTTCCCACCTGCCAATAGCGTCAGTCACTGGAATGCTGCGTTTGAGTGAGGTAGTGCAAAGTGCTCTCATCGGTTTTTCAATGCAAGGAAAATGACAGGGCGATTACAGTGGTGTTACTGCATCAGTTTGCCAGAAACTGGGCCAGAGCCAAGTGGAAACCATTCATAAGATCGAGACTGCTTTATGTGACGACGCTATGAGCTCCACACAGATTAAGGAGTAGTACAACCGGTTTAAAGACAGCTGCACATCGGCGAAAAGTGAGCCACACTCCGGTGGGCTATTAACATGCTGAAATGACCAGGTCATTGCCGAAGTGAACGCTGTGGTGATGCAGGACTGTCGTGTGACTATCCAGAATATCGTGGAAGAGGTGGGCATCAGCAATTTCTCTGCACATTTCATTATGACCAAAGATTTCGCTATGAAGGGAGTTGCGGCGAAATTCGTGCCAAAACTGCTCAAGGGGGAGCAAAAGCAACTTCGTGTTGAACTCTCACAGGTCATGCTGGATTTCACAAGCAGTGAGCCGAACTTCATGAACACCATTATCACTGGTGACGAGTCTCGAGTGTACAGGTACGACCCGAAACCCGAATTCCAGTCGTCACAGTGGAAGCATTCTACGTCACCAAGACCAAGGAAGGCCCGCCACTCAGTATCACTTTGACCCAGCTACGACAAAGTGATACTGAGTGCTTTTTTTGACTCTGAGGGCTTTCTTTGACTCGCTTGGTGTGTTAAACCACACTACACTACACTATGCACTACAGGATCAAACAATCACGAAAGGGATGTCCTTTGTCGCCTAAGTGATGCTGTGCGGTGCAAGAGACCAGAGGTGTGGCCAACGGGAAATCTGGTGCATCCATCACAACAATGCTCCTGCACAATCCTCATACTCCTGTAGTTCAACAGGCTCCTTACTCTCCTGATATGGCCCCCTATGACTTTTGGCTGTTTCCCAAAGTCAAGAGAACATTGAAAGGAGAGTGATTTCAGACAAGGGAGGACATTATGGCTGTAATGACAGCCGAGCTCAGCTCCATTCCGAAAGAGGCATTCTCAGACGGCTTCCAACAATGTCAGCACTGCTTGGAGAAGTGTGTGGAGTCCCAAGGAGATTACTTCGAAGGGGATTAGGTTTCTAACATTCCAATTGTGACAGCTCTTTTTTTTTTGAACCACCAAAGGTCTGATACTTTTCTAACAGACCTCGTATTAAAATTACTATGAGCAAGCCCCCCCACCGAGCAAGCGCCCTCCTCCTTTTCTGAGAGATACTCAATGACAGAGGGGGGGAAGGGGGCAAGTGCCCTCCCCTCGTGCCATTTTCACAATATCATTCACTATTTTTGAGAGTGAATGCATGCACACTCTATAAAGCATTTCATTAAAATCACTGGTGTGCATTTTTGTAATGATTATTTTTACTTTTTTTGGTACCTTTTTCTCCAATATCTTATACGATAGACTGTCCGTCAACAAAAATCTGTTAAACAGAACGGCTGCTTAAATTGTACTAGTACTTCTCACAAGATAGGTTTCGGGGTTGTATTCTGCAGCCTTGTTCATCTTTCAGTTAATGAGACTCCTGTTAAACGGAACATATTTTCCTGGTCCCTTAAAGTTCTGTTTAATGAGTCTACTGTATTTTGCTCCATGACTGAGCGAGCTCCCTCCCCTCCAAATTTTCTCAGATTATCTTTCACTGTTTGTGAGGTGCTTGCTCTCGGTTTACAATAGCATTTTTTTTTTCTTTAACTTTTATGAGCAATTGATCCTGATATGTGTATCTTTTTGCAGCAAATCTGGCTAGTAAATGTGATTTTGGCTTTGATGCAAGTGTTCGAGTGAAATTTACACCGATATGACATGAAACACAGAAAACGAAAATATTAGCATTACTTGACCTTGCGGGTCTGTTCTGTGGAATCCAGCGAGTGGCGGAAAAGTTTCCTATGGTATTACTTAGCCCTAAATTTTAACATTTTAATCTATAATCACTGTAATGTCTCTCTCTCTCTGTAATATGTTGTGTGAGTTTGGAGCCAGAGTTTGTACAGACTAGACCCGGATTTCAAATGAGGGGCATCTCAAGCCACCATGTATGAGACTTTTTATAACACGCAGCTACTAGCACGGACAATACACAACAGTATCGGTAGCTTGTGGTTGATATAAAATCGCCATTTCTGGGCATTGACGAATGCTATGAACATAGTTGTAGATTAACCATCTCGTGCTATGCCGCTACTGCTACTTCGAGAATGCAAGATAAGAAAATCAATTACGAAATTTTGTACAGGTTTGTTTTTGGTATTTTCACTTCCATCTCATGGTTGACCGGAAGTCTGTTATTTAACCACAATGGATGACTTCTGGCCAAGCATGTGGCCAGAAATGTTACAGGTCAAATGTGCGCAAGATATTGGTCGTGACAGCCTAGCTAATATCGTAAAAGCCCGCATATAGCTCGGACCCGCACATAGTCCGGGGGCGTAATTTGGGGATAGCAAATGCGAGAAAAGTTTTCACCTGAATATAGCCAGAGTAAAACGGAAAAATGCATTTATTGACACACTTCATTCATTGTCGTCGTCGGACGCACTCTCTTCCTAAGCTCCCTTGTCAGAAATGTTCTCCCACAGCACATTATTCTCAGCGCCATCAAGCGCGTTCGAGATGGAGCATTTTTTGAACGCGTGGCAAACGAGCGCCTCGGGAATGCAGGCCGAAGGCTCGACTATCTACGAGCAAGGCTTTGCTGGCAAAGCCCAATCCAGCCGTCCGGCAGGGGTCACTTCTAGTTCTCTGGACCTCATCCACACCGCGTACAGGCGCTTGACATGGTCCTTAAATGGCTTAATAAAGCACACATCAAGCAGCTGCAGCTGTGATGTTATCCTTCCCGGGATGACAACGAGCTCGGTGCGGGATCCACAGCAGTGGCTTTATGGAGTTGGTCAGGTGACACTGAAACTTGTTTAGCACAAGCATCGAAGGGAGCCCCAGCAGTGCTTCAGGCTGTCGACACCACACGGACTTTATCCAGTCAAGCACTGGCGATTCGTCCATCCATACCTTGCACTGGCAGTAGACGACATTTTTTGAGAACTTCTGCCCCTTCGACAGCGTCTTACGTCTGAATACCACGTAGGGTCGTAGCTTGCAACCGGCCCAGTCGATCGCATGATAACTTGCTTGGAGCCTTCCTGCTGCACCATCAGCACCGAGGGCATATCCAGGTAGAACGGCGTTTGATCTCCGTTGCCAATCTGGCCCAGCTGAAAGGGGCAGCCTTTCGCAACACAATTACATACTTTGAAACTTCACAAGGTCCTCTTCGTTGCTATTTGGTAGCTTCTTCAAGATCGACTTACGCCGATGTATGCAGAACCCAGCGCGGCGCATGAAGAGAGACACCCAATGTTTGCTCGCTTTGAAATCTTCCGGCTGAATGCCTTTGTCTCAGGTGATCTCCCTTGCCTTCGCTTGTTGTAGCTCTATGTCAACGAGATGTGCAGCTCATTGCTCCCCCACAAAGTCTGCACGTTTTCACTCCACATCAGGAAACGCATCATTTTTCGCTCCATATAAACTTTTTGGCTGGCCGCTGCAAGCAAAGAGCGCGTCTTTCTGCTTCCGTCAACCACGATGTCTCCGCTCGTTGACTCCGAACTGCCGCATCGCGGCACATTTGCCAATGGTTTCGGCAGCAGCAATAATTTTCTTTTTAAAAGTAGCAGAGTACTGCCTGCACGGTGCTGACATGACGTAAAATCACCGGAGCAAAATCATGGTCGTCGTTATGGGCCCAAAGTTGAAGCAAAGGCCACTGACCACTGTTGCATGTGGGGCTGTGTATGACTAATGCTTGCCACCGCTGCTAACATATAGCCACATATAATATTGGGCCGAAATTTTGTACCCTAAAATCTAGAAGAAAAAAATTGCCGACAGCCGACAGTACCACAGCGCCAAAAATAAGGCCTCTGCGAATATTCCAATGCTTTGAATATTTGAACGAATATCACAGCATTCGAATTTGCTTCAATTTGAATTGAGATGAATGAAAATTTTGAAGCATTTTAAATGAACAAACAGGATGAAAATTTTGAAGCATTTTAAATGAATGAACAGGCGTGAATTAATCCACGTGTAACCCCCATAAAGAAGGTTTCATTGCTGTGGAAGGGTGTTAAGCGGTGAAAGCACCCATTAAAATGTATATTACTAGTTCGCATGCAACTTCCTGTAAAAATGGTTTCACTGCATAAAAGGTGCACGAAGTCGTGAAAACACCTATTTGAAATCCTTGTTGCTTCAAATCGTCATATCAAAATTAAATGAACATATAACCATCACATCGATTAGTCATATTTGATGTTTAAAAGCCTGTTATGCAACCTTATATGCTCTAAGTATAGTAGATATTGAAACGTAACATATATTATAGGCTAACACTTGCATTCTACAAAAGTCGAATCCTGCTGCTATTCAAAGTGGTTTTTACTTTTTTTGAATAAAAAAAAACTGTGTTCGCACAGGCCTTGTTTCAATTTAAAAAATATGTATATTGTGCAGGTCAGATAGGTCATAACAAATATTCCCCCCCTTTTTTTTGTAACATGTGATATATACTGTTGGGATTCGATTTGAAGTTATTCAACCGAAATTGGTACTCGGACAAGCCTACTAAAGATGCTTACCTAATGCAAGAGCGTACGTATCGACCTAGTGCTCTCAGAGCCGCATGCGTATTGTTTGATAGCGTTACTTGGGGAGGCATTTTACAGGCTCATGCTTGGGTTTTTAGTGAGTTCTTTATTCAGTGCAGTGCATGCATGGTTGTTCAATCAGGTGGAGTGCAGGCCACGTCGATGCACCTGGGGCATCAAAGCCAGCGGCTAGTGCTGAATTGCCTGTGGACGTTGCGCAACCTTTCGGATGCTGCACTCAAACAGGAGAGCCTAGAGCCTTTGCTGGCCAGTCTGGTCCAGCTGCTGGCAAGTGGTGACATCAACGTGGTAACTTGTGCTGCGGGCATCCTTTCCAACTTGACCTGCAACAACCACCGCAACAAAGTGACCTTGTGTCACGTAGGGGGCATCGAGGCCCTTGTACGCACAGTTATCCAGGCAGGAGACAGAGAAGAGATCACAGAGCCTGCTGTGAGTGCCCCCTGATTTTTTAAAAACTGTTTAGAGCCTCTGTTTACGCACTTATGCAGTGAAAACAGATGACATTTAGCTAGCACATGTTCACAAACATTCCTTAAATAAGGGGAGCCCACGCCCACACCATTGGCATATGTCATGACATTTTTATGGTGTGTGCAATTTCTAGGAAGAACACATCAAAATCGCATTAGCAGGAGGTGAAACTGTATATGGACTAGTGCGCCCCTCTGTGGTGGTCTAGTGGCTAAGGTACTCGGCTGCTGACCCGCACGTCGCGGGTTCGCATCCCGGCTGTGGCGGCTGCATTTCCGATGCAGGTGGAAATGTTGTAGGCCCGTGTGCTCAGATTTGGGTGCACGTTAAAGAACCCCAGGTGGTCGAAATTTCCAGAGCCTTCCACTACGGCGTCTCTCATAATCATATGGTGGTTTTGGGATGTTACCCCACATATCATCATCATATGCACTAGTACGAATTCGTACATGTCTGTATATGTCGTTTTATTGGATTCTACTTATCTTGTACGTGTATACTCTAGCCAGAAATGCAAGAAACGGTAACTTTACGTCGCATGGAAGTTCACTCTGATCGTAAGCTCACCGACACTACAACATGCCACAAGAAGTGCTCAATCTTTTCGGCAACAGCAGAGACTGGTGTGGTGATCAATGATTACGACTTCCTCGCAATTACGATGATGTCTTCACAATAAAAGAGTGAAGGTGCAGGGGCAGCTGGCGAATATGCCATTATGACTAACCTCCGACAACCTGGTCACAGACATCTTCAGCCATCTGCTCTGCTGCGAGGCCATTTGAGCATTATTGCTTGCAGTATACTTGTCTGCTTCATGTTGAACCAACAGGATACTTGCCGCGCCCGTGCACAGTGCGGAGTGAAGCATGCACAACAAGACTGAAGCATTGTTGTTTTCTTAGTCAAATGACATACTTGTAATATGCACAAGAAACTTCGCTGAGGCAATTGTGAGACAACTGTTCATGCCCACAATAGCATAATAGTTGGAAAACTCATGTTGCCCAATCGTTGAAAAGCACTGCAGCAAGACAGCAGTTTCGAAAATATAGCTTTGGCAGCCGTAGAGTACAGCGTCTAGTTGCTTAGCCTGTCGTGTTCAGTCACCAAAGGCGAGAGCATGGCGGCTGTGTGCCAGCGAAAGCAGTTGGCAGTCACAGAAGCGGCCATCTACACATTCTGTTAGTTAGTTGAGCTATAAAATGCACATAAAAAAAACAAGTAAACTTCTGAAGGTACGCATGAAACAACCACGAAAAAGTGAGCGATGCCTCGTTGATCTGGTAATGCGCCGAATCAAAGAACACACCGAACTAAACACAAGCTCCGATAGCATATTGCCTGGATACGCCCCCAAATCTGTTGGCTTACGTTTCAAGATTGCCTGCACGTGTCCGCTGTTTTTGAAACCAAACGATAAAAAATGGCCGCTCAACCACATACCAAAGAGCAAAAGTTTATTAAAGTAATCTACTAATTTTTTAACAATTAAAGTAAAACTATTCAAACTAAACATATAATCATTATTTCTTCATTATTTGTCCTCTCCCTCATCTAGTCGCTCTTCAGTCGTCACGTGGTTGTTGATGTTTGTCGAAATAGGTTTCAGACCACTTTTTTATTCCGACTTTCGCGACCTATTTAGATTGACCTTGCGTAGAGTAAAGTGCGAGTAAAGTGTAAAGTGTGCGTAGAGTAAAGTGTAAAGTGCGTAGAGTAAAGTGAAGAGTAAAATCTGTTTATAACAAACTCGAAAGTGCTTTGAAAAGGGGTCATTATATTAGTAGTTCGTTGTATATGAACTTGCCCTTGAAATCGTGCACCTAGTGACCAAGCCATTTTCTTTTTCTGCGTGCTTTTAAAAAAGTGCTAACAACCCCCTCCAGTGACAATTTAAGTCTTTTCTTGACACCCGCTGCATGCTCACGAGCGATTAAACCACTTATGCTGTGAACCGACGCAGTTTCAGTAAAGTGCAGTATCACCACGTAAAGACTTATCATCCGTGGCTAGCAAAAAAAGTGCGGGTCGAGTAGGCGAAGTGCTGCACGTTTATGCTTTGTTTGTGCATGCTTCACTCCGCACTGTGCACGGGCGCGGCAAGTATCCTGTTGGTTCAACATGAAGCAGACAAGTATACTGCAAGCATTAATGCTCAAATGGCCTCGCAGCAGAGCAGATGGCTGAAGATGTGTGTGATCAGGTTGTCGGCGATTAGTCATAATGGCATATTCGCCAGCTGCCCCTGCACCTTCACTCTTTTATTGTGAAGACATCATCGTAATTGCGAGGAAGTCGTCATCATTGATCACCACACCAGTCTCTGCTGTTGCCGAAAAGATTGAGCACTTCTTGTGGCATGTTGTAGTGTCGGTGAGCTTACGATCAGAGTGAACTTCCATGCGACGTAAAGTTACCGTTTCTTGCATTTCTGGCTTCTTGGGACTGCAACCTGTTGTTTGATTTATCGTATGTGGTCGTAGATGCAGAGAACGGTGCCAGAAGTTCCCGAGTGAAAGCTGACCACTTGGGTTCGTGCTGCTGCCAGGGCATAAACACCTGGAAATGAGCAACCTCGCTCGCAGCAGCCTTAATCTGTGTGTGATGCTCGCCGCAGTCTATGACGTTACGAGTGAACCACAGTGGGGCTACGAGTGGGCGCCTCTCTTGCGGTTTAGAATGCCTTTACTTTTTTTCCCGCTTTGTATGAATCATATTTTTACCTCAACCGTGTCAGAAGTGTATTGTAGAAGTAGGACGCCTTGAAAAATGTTCGCTACACGTGGATGTAGCTTCAATTGGTAGCCTAGTAAAATTGTCATTGCACCGAAATATGGTCGTTACAACTGATAGGTATATCAGATGGTTTGATATACAAATTTTAATGAAGTTTGCGATGCAAATTTTGATGCTCAAGTTGGCTTCATGGCACTGCTTCATGATAAATAACGAAGATGTTCTCACACTAATAGTCATTTTTTTATATTTGTAATTTTCTATTTTTGCATGGTTTGTAGCTGTCTGTGTGGGATTATATGCAGGAGCAGGTTATGCACAAGCAAATATGATATTCATATACCGTATTTACTCGCATAATGAACCCGCCCCCCACTTTGGTCCTTGAAAAAAAAAAGAAAAATAATTTTATTAATATATCTGTACATCTTATTTTGGTGTGATAGCCAGTCATATTCGCAAGTTTTTTCTGCGCACGAACATAGAAAAAGGACAGGGTAGAGAGAAAGAGCTCACCAACTAGTCCAAGCTTCCAGTCTTGTGATAGCCAGTGTCGAGACGATCGAAGAAGCGTCAAGTAACATATCTATATCACAAAATAACAATGCATTAAAAATCAAAACATAGTCATGCTCAAAACAATCAAAACAATCATGCTGAACAGTTGGGAGCAGCACAAGCGCGAACGATGTGGATCAAAATTTGTCTCACCTTTTGCAGCAAAGCGCTATTGGTCAAACGCCAAAGAAACTTTCAGCTTAAAGCACCATGCACGTACAGCAGCATGAACAGAAAGCAAAAAAACAAAAAACAAAGCGCAACCACGTTGATGGCGCGACATGCACTCGCAACGTGCATGTGCCGCCATCTGATGCTGCGTTTTGTTGACGATCGACTGGTATGCTAGCAATGTAGCGAGTTTTCAACTTCAAGTTGGTCAAGCATGTGCTCGGGGAGTATGGGAATCAAGCGGTTTGATGCCACTTTCAACGTCAATCCGTGCGTGTTGGCCTTTTTACGCACTATCTGCACAGCCCAGTCTCATTTGTTGGGTCACCTGCCGCACACAAGCGGAGGGCGAAATAGCGAATCGGCGACACTCTTTCACCCTCCACTTGCATATGGCAGGTATCTCTGTATGTGCGGGGCGACTGTGCGGATAAAGGTACGTTGTGCATTTCGCAGGCCAAAACAAGGACAGTTTTCTTTGCAGAGGGTGAAATTTTCGAATACAGGCAGTGTAGTGCTGCCACTGTATTGAAGGGCAGTAGCGGTTTCAATACCGTCGGCGAGTTTTTTATTGCTTTCGTGTAAAACTTTTGCTGTTATAACTTCTTGACTTTTTTTCTCCCGCGAAGTTGCATCAACTTTTTTGAAAAAGAGGTAGGTTCAGTATGCAAGTAAATAGGATAAATAACTCCTCTAAATCTTCGTACACAACTGTGCGTTCTCATCAGGCTCGGGAAGTGATTAATTCTGCCTTAGCCCGACTGTCAGCCTTGTTTCTGAAATACTTAATGTGTGTCTTTGGATGCCTAAAGCAGCAGCGATTTGAGGCTTCTTTTCCGTGAAGTTCAACTGAATTGATAATTGCCAGCTTTGCAAAAAACAGCAAATTCTCCTCTTTTGTGGCATCGTTAACAAAGGGAGCAGAGGAGTGGATGACCCTGTACAATGGGCTTACGCAACGGCGAAGAATCGTGGGGGAATACGCATGACATGCGGTAGTTTCTGCTAGCTCCACACAGCATCTAATTACTATATTTACTTTCGGAATCCTCACCTCTCTTATTTTTTCTTTCTTTTTTTGCAATAAACAAATGAACAGTTAAGGAGTGCGAGAATTACGTAAGGAAATGTTTCGTGAAAACATAGTTGCAGAGTGCTGAGCAAAATAGAAACAGAAGAAAAAAATTCCCCACCTCCCCCCGAAGGGAATCAGGAGGAAGTGTGGATGCATATCTTGCGCCAAGAGAGGGTACCGTTGCCGTCACACATCTGCCTTCACCGACTTCCACAATCGCCTTGAGTTGCGCCCAGCCAGCGAATGGTCGAGAGGTAGGAGTGAGCAGGCGGGAGAGCGGGGCGCCAGCGTTCTTAGCTCAGCTTTGGCGTTTCACAGCGGCGTCTTGAGCACACATTTCCGGGTGTTCTTGAGGCGCCCATCAAGCGAAGGGTCGAGTGTGGTGCAAGTGGACAGGAGAGTGGGGTGCAGGGAG